GCGTAATCCCGCTTGGAAGGAGGTGCGTTTCAAGTTGACGCCATTCTTCTCCAGTGGAAAATTGAAACAAATGTTTCCATTAGTTGAAGAGGTAAGTCTTATTTTGAGGCTTTATATTCTCTCATAGGCTCAACTGAAAATTTTCTATTTCAAATTAAAATTTTTAAGTTTTCAGAAGCTCTTGATGCTCCCATGTGTATTTTAAGGAAAGAAATGATCATTGATAGGTTTCGAAAGCGTCCTGGAACCCAGGATGGCCCATTATAAGCGGCGCTTTGTAACCGCTGAAGCAATTTTCGTCCGAGTTCCTTCTTCAATTTGTGTTTCTGCGACTTGATTTATTACCAACAAATGAAGGAGCCTACAGATTATACTAAGCCTCCTCCGAATGGCTCAAGGGTTTTAATGAGGAGCTCTTTTTCATGTGATAAATACACTCGGAGGGGTCATTCCCTGCCGACGGGTGACTACAATTATAAAAAAGTAATTTTCTATTATTTAAAGGTTGATGCCCCAGGGTGCTAAATGCTAAGAACTCGACTGTTGAAGTGGGTGAATCACAGTGTTACAGACGAAAAAGGAAATGTTCACTGGAGATAGGCTTTATAGAATATCAAGAATGTGTTAGTAAGCTCAAAGCCAAATTCGGTCCCGAGGATCTTTAATATTATACTCATAACTTGATTATCGGTAAACAAGCTTTAAATTATAATGTGGATTATCCCTTAAAACTGAGTGTTTCCAGAGTTCTTTTGGAGAATTGCAGAAGCTTATTATGTAGGCTAAAGCTTGGTGGTAAAAAGTCTCGCTTCAAATAGTATCGCTTACGGCTCTTCATTTCGCACAATGAAGCTTAAGACCTTATGTGATTTCGCTAAAAACCTAGTTCACACTTCTTCGGGCTTTTGCAAGGTTTGAGTGCTATCGTCTAAAACAGTTTTGTTTCACTATTTATAAGTTCTTCCATACCCTCTACCAATATCAATTACTTTAAACCTGTTTATAAAGGATCCCACGTAGAGCTTGCCCCTAAATGAGATTGAATTATAAGCTTAATTAAACGCATTTCTCCTTAACCCACAGGTCGGACGTGAGCTTGATAAATATTTGCTCTCCCAAAGCATTGGGTGTGACGGCACGAAGTCCTTCATGATGGAAATGAAAGAACTCTGCGCACTCTACACCACAGATGTGATAGCCACCACGGCTTATGGCGTGCAAGCGAACTGTTTTAAAGTACCCAATGGCGAGTTTCGACGACATGGACGTGCCGTCTTTAAGTTTGGTGTGCGTCGTACATTAGAATTCTTATTCGTCTTCTTTATGCCGCATCTAGTGCCCTATCTTAAATTCAAAGTTGTGCCGCCAGCCTCTTCCGAATTTCTACGTAACACTATCAATTATGTAATGAAGCACCGTGAGGAGTCGGGCACAAAGCGCAATGATCTCATTGACATACTAATTGAGTTCAAAAATTCAACGAAAAGCAAAACATCTGCTAGTGGCGTCATTTATGAGGGTGATATATTGGTCGCGCAGGCGGCGCTCTTTTTCACTGCCGGTTTCGAGTCCTCCTCGGCGACTATGTCCTTTGCGTTGTATGAGTTGGCGTTACGACCGGACTTACAGCAGCGTGTGCGTAATGAAATTGCGGCAGGTTTAGCGCTTAGTGGCGGTAAAGTCACTTACGAATATCTGGATACATTGGTTTATATGCAGATGGTAATTGATGAAGTGTTGCGCATGTATCCACCGCTGCCATTTCTTGATCGTCAATATACCGCGCCGCCTGAAGAGGGCGGTTACTCGCTGGAACCGTATCACAAATATCGGCTGCCGCATGGTATGCCAGTTTATGTACCCGTTTATGGTCTACACATGGATCCGAAAGTAAGTTGTTTTTTTATTTTAAGAAACTCTCATTTAATAACACTTTCACTGTTTTTGTACATATAGTTTTACCCCCAACCGAAAAAATTCGATCCAGAGCGTTTTGCACCCGAGCATAAGAAACAACTGCCACCTTACGCTTACATGCCTTTCGGCTTGGGCCCACACGCTTGCATTGGCGAACGTTTCGCTATGATGCAGACGAAAATCGGACTCACCTATTTCCTGCTCAATCACAAAGTCACCACCTGTCCGCTCACCAAGATACCCATGCAATTGGATCCTAAAGCCGTTGTGATACAAGCTGAGGGTGGCATACACCTGAATGTAGTGCGTAGTCCTCTAAGGGAGCGTGAGCTGTAAACGCCAATTCTCTGTTGCTGTTTTGTTTTCCAAACCAACTTGACCGTGTGTAGTAAGCGAATGAGTGAAAGTTACTTAGATCCAATCCATTTTAAGGGTCTTCAAGGGCCAGTGCAGCAGCGTTAGGATGTTTTATAAAAAAGTATTTAATTTATTTAATTTGTATGTCAATTGAGTGTTTAAAGCATTTAAACTTGGGTCAATAGCACCTTTGCGTGAGTTGGATAATTTTCGATTTTTTTTTCTATTTCATTTTTCGAACAGCTTGAAGTATGAAATGTTGCTGTTTCCAACAATAAATATGTTCATTATAATTTTATAAGTGTTTAGTGGCTGAACTGAACTCAAGTTTGCATGTCAAATTCATGACTTGGAGTGTCACTCAAGTTGATCGCGTGTGCCAAACGAGTGATCATAAAGTAATCATGTGTCAGTCTCAAAGAAAGCATTAATTTGAGCAAAGCTAAGTTCTATTACCAGTGAATGGAGCACTCGAGCTACGTATGAGCAATTTTAAATCGATTACATAAAAACTCGATACTCTGATGTTTACCACGTGCTTTTGTGCTCGATACTTTTTGGCGCTTGGTAACCGCTGAAGCGATTTTCCCCCGAGCTACTCCTCTAATTTGTGGTTTTGCGATTTGAGGGTTTTATAACAAACGGAGGGACCTACAGTTTATACTAAGCTGCCTCCGAACACTCGCAGTTGACATTCCCTGCCACAATCAGAAAATTTAGCTTAATTTTATATTTAAATTAATTTTTTATAGGAAAATTAATAATTAGAAGTAACTAAGGGGTGATCCGTTTCGGGGTTCCCTACATTTTTAAGGAAAAAAACACAGAAAATTTAAATTTAATGGGATTCGTTTATTATCATGCGAAAAAATATTATTTTACATTTATTTATTTGAGGATTCATCTCTTTCAAATATCGGCCGCGGCTACGTCTCAGTATCTCATCTGTTGAGTCCAATTTTGGATGACTCGTTCGAACATTTCGAGTGTTAACTGGCGAATGACGTGCGTGATATTTTGCTCCAACTTCGGAATCGAAGCGTGATTGCCCGTATAGACCTTAAACTTTACATATCCCTACAAGGAAAGGTCTGGCGGTGTGATATCATAGGATTTTGGTAGGCAATGGACCGGCCCAAAACGTGAAATTAACTGTTTACTGAACTGTTCTCTCAATAGATCCATTGATTGATGCGATGTGGGGGAAGTGAGAGGAGCTTAAATTTCAGGCAACCAATAGTCAGTTACCATGGCGCGATAACGGTCACCATTTATTTTTACGTTCCCAAAAGCCACACTAAACGGTTTTTTTCTGGATGATATGGCAGCTCTTGAATCTCTTCGAATTGCTCTTCGTCTTAAATGACCAAATTTTGCTTGTTTACATAAATAACCATTGAGCCAGAAATGGACCTAATCTCTGAACAAACTTAGGCTCGATAATTTCGGATCTTCTTGGAACTTTTCAAGAACTTGGAAGGTCGAGCGGCTTCAATTCTTGTACAAGCTGTATTTTGTACGCTTTCAATCGACGCAAAATTCGACAAGTCGCTCCATAGCGAATCCTCCCCTCTATTAGTCGAGCGACGTGGCATATAGAAATTCTTCTAGGAAGATGAACCGAAATTGAAATCAAAATGTGACCAAAATACCAGTCATTGGAATCGCACTGATGCAACTTTCAAAGCTGAGTATGCTTCAACCGTGTCTTCTGACTCTGAGGCATAAGATACACAAATAGTTCATCAAAACTAAAGGCACTAACCTGAAAAGCTTTCAGAACATATTCGATGCGATGGGGACAAATTGGTTTGATTTTCGATTAAAATTCATGCAATCGATTTAATATCTGTCTCGTACCTAAACTATAATAATCGCGCAAAGAGGATATCTTCTTCTTTGGAAACTTTCAAGGTTGGAGTGCTTTCATCCATTCGGAGAGAGGACTTTACTTTTCAATTGCTTACTTAGTCCAAAGTAACACCTGTTGCCAAGAGTGATTCTGCGTTGGATTTCAATTCTGACGTTATTACTGGTGTTAATGCTGATCTCAAAATAGACGACTTCGAGGTTATGACTGTCAACATAGAAGTGAGCGCCTAGACGAGAGTGTGAATATGAACATATAAGCGATATTGAGGAGGCTTATACCACTTGAATTGGCATAGATCCCATTTACGTTCAAATCGTTGAGCGTGTTTCTATCCGATTATATCCTTCAACAAGTAGATGCATCAACCTTGTCAGCTCTTCCCCGCCATATATTAATAATTCTACCAGTAAGCCATCAGCTATAGCCACTTATTTGTTCTTTAAACGGGCAATGGCTATTCGAATCTCAGCATAGTCGGCTCGACTACTCCGTCTGTTGCCTTTTCAGTGCAGTTCAGCAGACTGGAGAAGTGTTCACTCGTGGACATGGAGGATGTTGTTGTGGACGACCTTTGGTTGCAAGAAAACGTCGCTATATGCCATACAGCCGACGAAGCAATCAATTTATTGTAGTAAACTTTTAGTGAGCGCATGACCTCGAGGTCATGTGAAGTGGGTTGTATACGCATATAAGCTCGAGTCGATAGGTAATACGGTGCAAAAGTTGCAAAAAGTGGTCGAACTGGAATTTTTGGAAGCCGGCAACATTCTTTAAATAAGGTTTAGGCTACGAGCACCCCCGCTGCTCTGCGTTCTATTTTGAATTAAAAAAGTTTTTGATTTGCAATCTCATAACATAGTTTTTTTTTAATCACTACTAAACCAATTTCTCATTTATTTGCACTCCGTTCGTAGAGCTTATCATTGACAAACCGTAAGTAAATGCCATCCTTATAACTTAAAACTAAAGAAAATGGATCAAAGGTTATCTCCTCCGGCGTCTTCGCACAAGTCGCAACATAGTGATCCTTCAAAATATGAACCAAACCAAGTTTTGATTGCAGCAAACCAATACGACTGCCGATACAATTACGTGGACCATTGCCGAATGGCATGTATGCCATTGGTGGGTGTGTATTCTTATTTTCGGGACTAAAGCGTTCCGGGTCAAAGGTGTTCGGATTCGGCCAATACTAAAGTAGAGAAAAGAAATTATATTTAACTTTGTCAAAGTCGGGCACAGAGACGGTAATGAGTAGTGCACGAGCTCACCTTAGGATCACGTTGTATAGCAAACAACGGTATATAAACAGACATATCCTTTGGTATTGTATAATCGTAATATGGTTTTAGATCAAATGGACTTTCTCCATCCTTGTGCAAATGTTGGCGATCGAGTATCGGCAAGACAGGATAGAGACGTAACACTTCGTCTACCACCATGCCCAGATATGGCAGATTGCTAATAGTCTCATAAGATAATTTACCATTTTCAGCCACCAATGCTTCATATATTTCGTTGCGCAATCGTTTTTGCAAATCGGGCCGTTTAGATAGTTCGTACAAGGTAAATGTCATTGTTGAGGATGACGCTTCGAAGCCAGCTGTCAGAAATACTGCAGCTTGCGCTGTCAATACATCCTGCATCTCGGCATTATATTCACCATTTTCGACAGCTTCCTTTTTAATATTCACCAGCACATCGATTAGATCGCTACGTGTAGCCTTACTCTTCTCTCGCTCGATCATCACATGACTGATGGTGCCGCGCATGAATGTGCTAAACTCTGGTGTAAACAATTTTATGCGCAATTTCGATACCCAATTCGAAAAGAAGAATGCGATGGAGAAATCAATCGCTCGACGAAGTGTAAACTCTAAAAATTTTCGGCCTTGCTTACGAAACTCGCCATTCGGATTAGCCAAACTATTGGCTTTAATACCAAAAGCGATCGTTGCTATCAAATCGGTAGTGAAGAGTGCACTTACCTCTTTGACGTCGGTCACGAAGGAATCATCTGACTTAGCATACGTTTTCAAATTGGTTTCTAACTCTAGACCGATCTGTTGACGATGGGCAGGAAAGAAAATTTATTATTGTTAAATATTTGTTTATTCAACTACCTACCTCCGTCATAAGCGAATACATATGCTTGATCTTGCCCGTTGTGAAGACCGGTGAAATTTTCGTTCTCAACTCTTTCCATTGTGGATTACGTATGAAGAACAAGTTGTTCGAACCTAAGGCGTCTCCGTGTGGATCACATGCGGCAGCACGATTGGAGAACTTTTGGAAATCCTTAATTAACACAGACTTAATGAGCTCCGGTTCGCGTAGCACAATCGCTGGCTTATTAAATATATAAATACCGACTGCAGCGGCGTTGGACATTTTATCATCGTCATAAACATCGGAGAGATACAAGAAGAAACTTTTACTCAACGTGAACATGACTTTTGTGTTTCCAATTATGGGTATTGGTTGGATGTAGGGAATCTTGTGTCGCTGCCAATAACCGTAAGTGTAGCGACACCATACGTAGAATAGCCCGACGAGGGCCGCCAGTAGGAAGAGGGTATCTGTTGGCAGCATCGTTTGAACTAAGTAAAAAAGAGAAATTTTGTTAAAATTATTTTAATTGTCAGTTCCTTCTTAAAAAAAAGATAATATTTTTTTTAATTTTTATTTCCATTTATTAAAAGTAAAAACATTAAAAAACTTCAATTTCACGCATAACGTCGCACCCTGTTTTACATCGATTTCACAGAAGTCATGGTCGATAGAGCGAAGACAACTTCAAACTATAAGAAATGAAGCGAAGTGGTTAGTGTTGGGTACAACCATTCGGAATATCCGGTTAGAGTCCTGGTCCGACCAATATCCACATAGAAAATTATTTTTTGTTATTACTCCACAACTCGGCATGAAATAAAATCTCCGTATAAAAATCCATCAGTATAAACGGTAGGTCCTTCCATTCGTTGTGGACACATCAGGATGGAAACCACAAATTGGCAGAGGAGCTTGGCATTCATATAAATAATAATAAATAATGATTCCTGCATATTGTAAAGTCGACGACGTCCAAATGTTTGCATGGAAGATTTAAAGTGTGCAACGTCAGATTTTCTGCTTAGAATTAAGCAAGTTTCTCTGCCTACGATCATTATCTCTATGACTTTTGGGTTGTTCATACGGTTTTCAACGTTTGCAAGAACCAATGGTTTGGCTAATGTATTCAAAAATGAACGTCTCGTGTCATGTTTATGTAGCCCATCCATTTCCTTACAAATAACAAACGATGCCAATGCCATAATATCCAACATATTGAAAAAGAAAGCCACAGTCCAACGGTTGGTCGGTCGTTTTGTTGAAAAATGAGTCGCCATTTGGTCCATGCAATCGATACCAGATTTGTTGATATTATAATACAGAATTGCTTCTGGTTTTTTCGCTTCGCCTCCGGCATTTGTTGTATAATATAATGGACGGTTGAAACCAAATTTACGACTTTGTTTTTGTTTTTTTTGGCACGTATCTGCAAAGCGATACCAAATTTTCATGAAAACCAAAGTTGAGAGTAATGAACGCTGTGGATTTTTCTTCATTTCAGGCGGTAAAAATGCTTTGTTGGCTCGAATTGTACCGACAAATGCGAGACCAATATTGGCCAGCCGTTTAGCTCTATTCAACGTTGTGAAAATCATCAGCAACAATCGTTCGTCCACTGTGACTGTGACACGCTCGTTGCCTTCTTTGCCTGTGTATAATTTACCTTGCAATGGATATTTTGTCTTTGAATCGCATGCCCACCAAACTCTTATTCCATATCTAGGTGGTTTTGATGGAATAAACTGGGTGAATTTAGTTTTACCACGATATGGAAACAACTGCTCGTCAATGGTTACGTTTTCAAGCGGCTCATCATTTTTGGCGAGGGTTTCGTTCAAAAAATTCCATAGATTGCGAATAGGAGCCGCTTTGACGGATGCTTGACGAAATTGACGCGTACGACTATCATCGAAACGAATATATCGGGCCAATGCAAGAAATCGTCTATATGACACAGCAGCACGAAAGATGGGCAAAGCATCGGAACGCCATAAAAGTGCTGACTCTTCCATATTATTTTTTCTAACACCAGCAGCAACAAGGTATACCAATAAATGCATCAAGCTCAGTACTAGTCAAATCAACCCAAACTCTTGGCTTTGAATCTGGATTTTCTTCATGCCATTTTTGAGTAGCAATTTTTGCATTTCGATTTGTTTCGGTAATAAAAATGAATGAAATATTCTGTCTAAAAAAACTTTTGAATATCTCAATCGGAACCGATGTTGAAAGTTTTGGACAAGATCTGAATCGCTCCTTTTTCCATTCTGTGCCATCTTTACCAAAGAAATGTTCGGCCGTAGCTTCACGTTGAATAACTGGAGCAGTTGCATGTTGTTCTTCGTCTTCAATTTCCTAATCACTGTCGAGTATTTCGTTCGGTTCAATAACCAATTCGTTTTCAACATCTGAGGCGTCACCATCCAGCACATAATCTAAATCTCTAATATCATCACCATCGTCGTAGTCGTTCAATGCAAGATTTTCTTCAACATTTTCTGAATTTCGATTGAAATCATTCACTAAAGCGTTGCCCAATCGAGAATAAAAATCGGTACTGAGACTTTTACTACGTAAACATGGCAGTGTGAGTATGCAATTACAACAAAAAGAACGAGAAAAACCAATACAATCATCAAAATTATACATATGTTCATATGTCGCCAAACAAAATATATAGGAGTCTGGCCAGCCACCAGGTGTCGGACCGAAGGGTAGGTTTTTTAAAATCCTTTTTTTCGTCATTTTTTTAAAAAAACAGGTATATGTTTTTATTGCACAGATCGATAGCCAATAAAATTTTAGGAGGGTACCTAGGAGCACAATTCGCTATCTAAATTTTAAGTATATTAAATTTATCTCCAAAAACGAAAAATGTCTGGCCAGACCATGGTGTCGGACGGAGGGTTAAGGGCTTAAGAGTTTTTTCCCACAGAGTTTTATTTTAGAAAGCTGCTCGCTAAGTCATTAAAAAACCTGCTGATAACATAGCATAATCAATTGGTAAAAATTGAAAACGAAAACTAAACAATTGATAAGCAACAAATTATTTATAAACAATTTGCAGAAACTTGCAAGAATGTCTAATATTTAGGTGATTGTGCAGTCTACTATGTGTTTTGCACTCAATAACCTTGCAATTTAATTTTGGTTATCTCTCAGAGCAAAAACAAACAAAAAAATATTAAAATTAAAATAAAAAATAAGATAATAATATTTTGTTAAACAAAATATGGTAAATAGGTGGCCTCAGTAACTCAACGCGTACTGGGACGTACTACTAAGTTCTGTGAGGTATTGTGGATTACAGGCAACCCAAACTTTTATTTGCACTGAGCAAAAGGGAATATAATATTATTGTGGGAAATGTAAAGCGGAATCTAGCCTCGAGATATTTTCTTCAAAAATCTAGGTGAAAGTGGCTGAAGGCAGAGTGAACACCGAAGTAAATGTGAAGCTGGAGCACTGTCTTTGTGGGTGCCCGAATTGCATACGATTGAAATGTCTTCACGTTGTTTCAAGCAGCAAGATGCACACCACAAAATCCTGGTGGCAGTTATATATTATAGACTATTACAGAAGACATTCCTACTCTGCGGCGTTCAGGTTTACGAGTTTTGCCGCATGTTTTAGATATGCCTGTTGTAAGAGGCGAAAGTCGTGTCTTTATATCAGATAAACCTGAATTTTTATCCCGTCAAGAACTGTCACTGCCGCAACAACAACAATATTCGGGATAATAGTGAGGTAAACCGAAGTTTTACCCAGCCAAGGACTAGCACAACCGTATTAATCCCCGAAACCTAATTTGGGGGAATGTTTTTGCGGTTAAAACAACTACAATAACAATGATTAGCCGTTCGCTGATGGCTCATTTTTTTCTTATTTGGAACACAAATAGAAGAAGCCCTGCTGAAACTCACCTGGGCTGCTGTAAAGCTTCAAATTCTATCTAAAATCACCTTGTTTAATGTACAAAAAAAAAAAAACACTTTTTTAATTGCGTAGATTTTTTAAATTCGTAAGATATTTCAAATTAAATCGCAACTTGGTCTTTCACGATGTTTGGAGCACTGAACACTGAACACTTTTTAGGGATAGAGACTTTCTTTATATACTTTTTTAATAGACTCTCCTACGCGTTTTCATATATATACGTACAAATACATGCATATAGTTTAAAAATATCATTATTACTTTTAAAAAATCCTCATCTTTTTTACAATTCATCCACATATTTTTTTATTCACAAATTAAGTTCAAAAATGTCATTATTACTTTTAAAAGATCCTCATCTTTTTTACAATTCATCTACACATTTTTTTATTCACAAAAATTTTTGCAAACTTTTGATAATAAATACCTTTTCGAAATTTTCTGTTATCGAAATTCAGCGGAAATTTCTTTTAACGTTTTTACTTACGCGTTTACCACACAATACTAAGTGCAGCAGATTGTGGCTTTTATTTAAAATATTTAATTGAAGCTACATACATACATATATATACATAATCTCTATGCATTCACTTGTGTTGGTACTTTTTGCCCAAATGTTATCAAAGCCGAAAATATAAATTTTAAGTGTTTTAAAAGCTAGAGAAAAAAAAAACAAAGAAAAAGAAAATGCAACCGCTAAATTAGTAGATTACATAGACGACGGTCTTTATCTTTAATATATAAATACATATATGAAAGCCCTTTTATGATTAATTACGCCAAATACCAATACTAATACAAATTATCCATATACCCATCCGAAATCCGAACCTATACATTGGTATATTCAATATTGGTTCGTGTCTACAATATTTTCCCAATGAAATAAGATTAACGGCTGCATGAGCCACATTGGTTTAAACTTCGGCTAAACTATTGTAGATGAAGACTATTCGAAATTTTATTAAATTAACAACAACATTTCAAATCACGGTGGCACCTCGGCAGAGAATGTGAACTCCCTCGTGTGTATTTCTGACATGAAATAAAAACTTCTCAAAAAAATTTATCAGCCATTCAGAGGAGACTTATGATAAACTTTCGGTCACTGCAGTTGTGGGAAAAATATCAAAACGCACTAACATTGGAGGATGGGATGAGCTTGGTCGAAATCCCCTCAGCGCTTATATAGCGTTAATAATATTTACTATACAACTGGCAGGGCGTATGAGCGGCATCGCTAAATTTCAACCCTAACGAACGGCATTACGATTAAAACTCCTCATTCCCCCGTAGCTTCTCGTTCATTCCTTAACTGAAATTTTTTTCACTTACGGGTCGCCCGAGAATATGATAAATATCTCTGCTCACTGAAAGTGGATGCGAAAACTAACTCTACTGTGATAGAAGTAAAAGAGCCGAATGCACTCTACACAACCGATGTGATAGCAATCACTGCCTATGGCCTACAAGCGAACAGTCTAACCGATCCGAATGGTATTTTCCGCAGAAATGGCAAAAAGATTTTCACTTTCAACTGGCTACGATCACTGGAGGCTAAAGCTTTCTTTTTCTTACCAATCGTGGTAAAATTATTCGGTTTCAAAGTCTTTTCAACCGATACCACCATCTTTCTGCGCGACACAATCAATCGAACGATGGAAGAACGTATGCGCACAGGTACGACACGTAATGATCTCATTGATATTTTAATTAAATTTCGACGTGAGGCCGAAGAAGAAGTGAAGGAGGGTAAGAAACCATTTATATTGGAACGTGATGCTTTAGCGGCGCAAGCGGCGATTTTCTTCTCTGCGGGTTTTGAGACTTCTTCAGCGACCATGTCGTTCACTATGTATGAAATGGCGCGTAATCCGGATGTGCAGCAACGTTTGCGTGAGGAGGTGCGTGAAGCATTCCTGAGTAATGATGGCAAAGTGACATATGAATTGATAATGGGTCTGAAGTATATGGATAATGTGGTGAAAGAGGTTTTGCGTCACTATCCACCACTACCATTTCTCGACCGCGTTTGTACGCCAAAGGCTGGTGAAGAGGGTTATTCATTGAAGGCGTTCAATATGGACTTTAATGTACCTGCTAATATGCCGATCTATATACCACAGCAGGCTATACAAATGGATCCGCAGGTTAGGTTTTTTTTTTCAATTATGTTAGGCGGCAGGAAAGTAGTTTTNCGAAGAAGAAGTGAAGGAGGGTAAGAAACCATTTATATTGGAACGTGATGCTTTAGCGGCGCAAGCGGCGATTTTCTTCTCTGCGGGTTTTGAGACTTCTTCAACGACCATGTCGTTCACTATGTATGAAATGGCGCGTAATCCGGACTTGCAGCAACGTTTGCGTGAGGAGGTGCGTGAAGCATTCCTGAGTAATGATGGCAAAGTGTCATATGAAATGATAATGGGTCTGAAGTATATGGATAATGTGGTGAAAGAGGTTTTGCGTCACTATCCACCACTACCATTCCTCGACCGCGTTTGTACGCCAAAGGCGTTCAATATGGACTTTAATGTACCTGCTAATATGCCGATCTATATACCACAGCAGGCTATACAAATGGATCCGAAGGTTAGGGTTTTTTTCAATTATGTTAGGTGCCAGGAAAGTAGTTTTTAGTCAATTTCTCTTATTTACAGCATTTCAAAGATGCCGATACTTTTAATCCCGACCGTTTCCTACCGGAGAACAAGCATGAGAATAATATGAACGCCTACATGCCTTTACACGCCTATCGGTATTGGTCCACACAACTGTATTGGGGAACGCTTCGCTATGTTACAAACGAAATTGGGTCTACTCTACTTCTATCGGAATCATTATGTAACGGTCTGTGATAAGACGGCGGTAAAAATTCAATTGGATCCTCGTGCCATCATCATACAGCCTGTGGGTGGTATTCATTTGAATGTTGTACGCGATCCGTTATTTTGAGATTTTTTTTTGTGATGAGCAGACTCCTTTGGAGGTTCATACAACATAATTTATTTGTAATTTATATTGTAATTCACATTTCAGTATAATTTTGTCTTCACTTAAATGTAATATTTCGGGTGCAAAATATCCTATATTAAGACCTTTCCGTTTTTGCATATGTACGTTTGAACCAATTGTCCGAGCACTTTTGCTCCACTCCGATTCAGGTGTCTCCATAACATGCATTCTAAACGCATCAACCGCCTATACCGGTGTCAAAGAATGGAAATAAAAAGGAATCATGCGGTGCCAAGTTAGGACCATGTGGCGGACGAGCTATCAAATCGATGTTTTGAGTGCTCAAGAATTCTATTGTTTCAGCCGATGGGTGTATGGTCGATTGTCTCGCTGAGATAGCGTTGCCTTTATAAGGCACACAAAATGGTTCGATCATCTGAGAAGGTGAAGGCAGGAGTCTCAGCGGTATCACAATGGGCCTATTGCCATAAGTGTGCTGGCAACAGCAGCCGCATCAACTTAACTCAACTAAACTCTCGTGGGTACAGTTGCGACTTGTCTAGCTTTTCCAAAAAAAAAAAAAATAAAAAAAATATAAGCAACCATTTGGTGGGTAGTGCTTCGTGCACGAACTAATTTTATTGAGTTCTGCTGAACTTTAAACATCCATACACCCGAGAGCTGTTTACTTTCAAGCTCATACATGTAAATCCTCATTTAGTCACCACTAACGATATCACAGTGGTGTTCCCAAGCTTTCTCTACGCAAAGAGCCTCTATTTTCTTGAGCGATTGACAACTCCTGTGCTTGGTATCCAATTTGATTAATTTTTTTTACAGTCACTTTGGACCTGTATTGAATGTAAGCTGGCCCCATTAACGTCTGCAAAGGTGAAAGAAATCTCTAATCTATGACGACCTGCACGAAATTCGTCTTTGAGTGATCTACGGCCTCGATTGAATTCACCGTACCATTGATAAACACTGGTACTTAATGAAGCTTCAACGCAGAAAATTGTTTTCGAAAGTTTTTAAAAAGAATGGCGCCAAAATGTTCGCGATATAATTTCATTTTTGGCTGATATGAGTATTTTAAGTTACTGTAGACGACACATTTAACGCTCGTATGACGAAACGTTCTGAGTATGTCTGACATCAAAACTGTCAAATTTTAAGATTAAGTTGCCACTTGACAGATTGCAACATTAGAAATGTCTACTCCCGAAATATAGAAGACAACCCTCTCGTATTTTAATGAAAAATATTATTTTAATTTTAGTTTAATTAATTATTTATTAGTACAAAATAAATATAATCACAGCACTTTATATATACACACACATACACCTTAATTTTCCTTCACAAATTTCAAGTATAGCTCTCCTTTGGCTTCCAGCATAAATCTTTTTGGATCAAATTGAATTTCACTCATTGTCTTCTCGCACAACTCGACACGATGTCGCTTTAATATATATACTAAACCCAATTTGACTTGCAGTAATCCCAGTCGACTGCCAACACAACCATGAGGGCCAACACCGAACGGTATATAAGTCATTGGTTTAATAGACGGCAGATTTTCGGACGAAAATCTTTCTGGATCGTAGAGTTGTGGATTGGGCCAGTGCTGAAAGAAATTAAAAAAATTTAACAAAATTTTTTGTTTAAATAATGTTTAAAGTAATTTTAGGTTAGGTTAAGTAGAAGTGGCTATCGATATGAGAGCAACAATACACTTAGGCCAAAGTAGGCCACTTCTTGACCCGATCAGAAAGTTTCGATTCTTTTAAAAATTTTAAAAATGTATCTTGATGTCTGCTATAATATATTAGACATATCAACAGGGAAAGTGGCTTCCAGTTATGAAAGGCTAGCTCTGCTCAAGACAAGGTAGTCACCTAAAATATGGCAGACCGTTTCTTACGCCTCATCGTTCTTTCAGCTTCTGCAACACGAGCATCTCCTAAAAGGAACTCCCAGTCTTCATAGAGAAAATTTACGATAAACTTTTCTGGTGAATCAAGAACAGAGGTGGCTAAGCTCAGAAGTACTGTAGCTACTGACTTTGAAAATTTTGGCATTTCTAAATGCATTGCCTTCTCGACTCAACGCTTTATGTTGTTCATTATGAGTGCAACCAGAAGAATTATAGTTTGAATGGAAAGATATGTTGGGAAGCCGGAAGCTGTTCCCGGTTTGGCAACATCAACAAACTTAGCCTTAGCCCAAATAGTAAGCTCTGTGTGATATCAAAAATGTTAGTTTAACCTAAAGGATACGGCTATCCTTGCGCAGTGCCATTCGGAACGCCGGAACGTTTTGAGTCTTTGTTTGACCAAACAATCAAAATTATAGAAATTTATTTTTTCTAGTGCCACTTGTCCCTCGGCGTGAAATGTTAAGCACTTGTAGCGTATTTTTGATATGAAAATCAAAGCTCCTTGTGAAAATCCATTGTCCATTTAGATGCGGCTTGGAATTGCGGCAATTCCGAAGTCTTTTTTTGCTTAGAGTATAGAATTACATAAATCGTTTAAGACTTCTTGTCATTTCTATTCAGGTTGCAGCATGCTTTCTTCATGTTATCCTATAAGCGATGTTTTGTCCATATCCCAATCGTCTTTGAGATAACGTTTTCCTTCAGTAAGTATCAGTCATTTGCCCTCTTACGGTGAAATTTCGATAAAGTTGCATTTGACTTTGCTGGGAATGAGTTTTGTTGTTACTAATCTGCCCCAGTCTGCTGTACATGAAATCCTTACGTAACAGTTTCTATGTATCCAGAGGCATACCGATTCCTTCTTTGTACGGGTATCTGATTAGTCGTACCTTCCCATTAATCTGTCCTGAAGTTCCTCTCTACACCGCTGCGACTAGGTACGTAAATGAGTCCCCTATAGTTGCATGTCTCATTTCTGCTGAGCAATCTACTTTGTATGTAGACTTGGCGACTACTATGTGAAAGGACATTGGCTCGAATCCTCACCGGTCAGTTCATAGCAGGAAATGTCAACCAATATTCCTTCGTAAGAATTAGCTGTTCCTGAGCGTCTTACAGCTGCAGGTTAGTTAGATCCAAACCAAAAAATCAGGGTAGAAGTCGGCCGAAAATCACTTCAGAGGAGACGAAGAACCCCTATACGCATTCATATAGTATATGGCTAGTTAGAAAACTTATACTTATAAGAAGATGTCTTTATGCTTCGGCTACTAAATAAGTATTAAGTACGTTGGGGTAATGGGACCATTAAGCTCAACTGACTATAAATTCCCCCGTTAGCTCGTTGCAGTGAATTGCACTAGATTTGAATTAGTTCCAGAGTTTACAGAAGTAATTGAAAGCCTGTTTGTTATTCAGAGGTTATACCCACCCGACATACTTCAACATCATGGGAATGTGTTTTGGTTTACAGTTCCTACACCATAATACTTTCCATTTAACTACCATAATTCATATGCACTGAGTGAGCTTTATGCAAACCTTACCTTTGGATCCCTGTGTAGGCCCAAAATGGAGACGTAGGCAGGCACACCCTTGGGTATATTTAGACATTTCTTTCTCTGCTCATACCATAATGTTTGCTGATAACCTTTCGGCAAACACTCACGATTTATGAATGGCGCTGTCGGATATAGACGTAAGCCTTCCGCAACCACCATATCCATATAACGCATATGTAGTATTTGCTTATAACTTAAACGTGATTTCGGTGGTCCACGCGAATAAGCATGTATTTCATCTCTTAATTTCTGCTGTATACTCGGCTGCTTCGCTAGCTCGTATAAAATGAACGCGATCAGTGACGAGGATGTCTCAAAGCCAGCCAATAGGAAAATACCCACCTGCGCTGGAATAAAATCTGGATGCCTCAACCAAACACTCTGCGGCCGTAAATCATTCAAGGTCTTCTGCATTTTCATCAATAATTCGATAAGGTCGCCACTCTCATGAGCGCCGTCGATCATTTTAGTGCGTAACTCGACTAGTTGTCGCATATAGTTTGCATATCGTTGCGTGAATACTCTGGATCTAAGCGCACGCACTGCTCGGGGCAGGAAGAATATAGTAAAGAAATCGATTATCTTGCGTAGATTGGGCTGAAATAGTTGCTCACACTGAGCGCGCATTTCACAGCCATCATTCAGTAAACCTGCCGTTTCGATGCTATACAATAGAGTGGCGGTGACGTCTGTCGTATACAGCGCACACATCTCTTTGACCTCTATCACTGTTGACACGCTATGTGCAGTTGCTCGGCGATCATCTTGTGCCATTCTACGCGTGATATACCCTTCTAGGTGTTCAGCGAGCGTTATGAGTTTCGGATACATTTTCTTTTTCATATGTCCACTAGTGAATAGTTTGGAGATCTCTCGTCGGCTCTTACGCCATATGCTGTATTTAGCTAAAGGCAACGTCAAAGCGCCCATAGTATCACACTCAAGATCGGCCGCCTCATAACGATTGGGAAAACTATTAGACTCTTTTGCGAATAACTGTTCGATCAGTTGTGGATCTCGTATGAGCAAAGCGGGTGTGTGCAGTATGAAGAAACCGAAAAATGGCGCTGCTTTGAATGTCGGTTCAGCGTAAAGTGCGCGAAAGTAATCACCAAAAGATGTGCGTAGAAAAAGTAACGGTCGTAAATTTCCCAAAAATATGGTCGGCTCGAGATATGGTATCTTACGGTAATACCAATAACTGTAGCGGTGATGGTAGAGTAGTTGCAAGAGCGTTAGTATGATGAAGATGAGAAATATTGTGACAAGATGGTGGTAACTGTAAGTTGACATTACGTCTGGGGAGCTGAAAAGATAAGAAAATCGTTAAGTGAGAGAATGTTGCAAAAGAAAAAGGTGCGATATGCAAGGATTTTAAGGAAGTAGAGGCGCTGAGGAAGGCACTAAACAAGACATAATAGTATAAGAATTAATAAAACCACCGACCTGTTCGTTTAATTTTTAGGTCATCTCGACTAAAAAACTATGGGCTCTGTTAGATAATACGAGATGTGACAATTAAGTAATGATATTGATACCATAAAAACCGTATATTTTAAAATCATTCTACAACATTGTCATCCTCTTCAAAGTAAAAGAACAAAAAAGTCATAGGGTGACATTTCAGACCAAATAGAGACCAAATACTGGGACACGTTGAGGGCGGTATGGTACGGCGTGTTATCGTGATGAAGGATTCAGTTCCCTGTTGACTCGTTTTCGCAATCTTTCGAGTACTTGGCGTTAGTAGACTTGATTTGTGGTTTGCCCCGGCGGAATAAATTGTTTGTGGACGATTCCACGGCTATCAAAAAAGGCAATAATCATCGTTTTTACCTTCGACTTGATCATGCGAGTTTTTTTGTGCGGGGAGCGTGCGAAGACAACCATTGTGAACTTTGGCACTTGGTTTCCGGGTCCTGATTTTTCCATTTTCGTGCATTTCATCGACGAGCACCACGAACACACGTTCAATCAACACGACACAGCAGGCGAACTAAACAAGCTAGAGCGATGGCAAATATATCAATGGAGAGGAGAAGGAAAGGCAATTTTAAGGCCGCAGGGTTACCACGATCGTGGCAATATAATCCGTTTCATTACTGAAATGTCCCATCTCGTAATATAGCTAAATGCGTTTGCCGTATTAGGTCAGGTTAAAGTGGCAATCGATTTGGGAGCATCAATACTGTCACAGTCACTGAGCTTCAGTATCCTTCACTTCGACTAATTCATAAATTTCTTTGGATAATTCATCTTGATGTTTGCTATCTTATACAAATCATCCATTAACGCAGCTCCTAGATATCGTCACTTAGCTCTGTTCGAGGCTGGGCAGTCATATAGAGGATGAGATTCTGTTTCTTGGTCATCACCGTTCTTACATCTTCTACAACAACCGCATGTCGTCCTATCAGTGTTAAAGATGTATCGCTCAAGTTTGCCTAGCAATTTGCAGTGTGGTTCCATTTGATTCGGCCTGGTCACCCAGTAGATTTTTTTAGTAGCAGTTTTCATGTAGCTAAAAGCATACCAACGCGTTCGTTGTCAGGAAGAATCAGCTGGGTTGTGCCTTGCATGGCAAGTGCCTTAAAATTTCTCTCTACGTCCCTTTGACCATGCACTCAAATGAGAGATAGATAATCCGTTCTTTTTGGCCATCTCTAGCAGGTATCGGCTGCAGAAGTGAGCCAAGTGACTTAATCGCTGCCTGACTATTGCTGAAAATAAAGATATCCTTTCTCGAGAGTTCAGTTCCAACGTAGTTTGCTGCCTTAATAAAGGCTGAAATTTCAGCCACACTGCAATGATCGAGTAGCCTGAAACAGACTCGAAACTTTTTAGAAGCTCGTTTGCTGTAAGTGACCACAAGAGCGTTAACAATATACTACCTTGAGTGTATGTGCAGTCTGGGTTTATCCCACTTCTTACTTCCCACTTCGCATTTATGTTTTCGTTTCGTAGTTCAAAGCTACCTTATCTATAGGAGGATAGCAGGTTTTGCCAGCGCTTCTTCCAGTCTATACACGATGGCATTCTTGCGGATATTGCTGAACGTTCAACTTATGTTCAGAAAACACTTAGGATACGCTCCTTATGCTCTACAGCTCCTCTATATAAGAGTAATGTTTGGGGTTAGTGCGCGAATCCGTTAGCGTTTTTGATATGCAGAAGCTTTTTAATTGTCTACAGAAGGAATGTATATAAAATTATAAAATAGGCGATTTTGAGTCGCTGATGAGGCTTTTGACCTCCTCCTCCTGGTGTGGGTTTTGAGGTTTTTCCAAAATTGTATCTATACCACGTCGCCTGCGTAAGTAGATGGATTTTTATGAGAGAGAACCTTCGTTTCCTATAAAATAAGAAAGGCGGCGGAAGATTTGACAAAAATCTTAATGAGTAAGTTTTTATTAAAACCAGCAGCCTCAATTGAGGTCTCCTTTCTTCTTTTAACTTTAAACATCTATAATTGCTAGCTTTAGTGTCAATCTACTTAAACTTATTAGCGAGAGGGTCAGAAAATCAGCAGATCCAAGGAACTCTACGAGCTTTATACCTTCAGGAGAGATCTAAGATCGCATGTTGTACCGACTTTTAAGCACTTTCGATGTGTAAAGGGTATAAATTTGTTAATCGTGAAGTAAAAAAAAATATTCAAAGTAATCACAACTCGGCAATCTCCCATTTATGCAAAAATCCCAAACGTGTAAGTACATACATACATATAAACAAATACAATACAAATATAATTCTCAACTCATTCATAAGTTTCTCGCACATGCAGTTTGCTCATTATACATTCACTACCGGTCCAAAATGAAGCGTTGTTTCCGAAAATAACGCATGATCCGAAATACATCAAATCAAAGGGCGCACAACCCACACGATGCACAGTAATAAATCGCCCAACACCGGGCGTGTGGCATCTTAGTACCGTTCGTGTTGTCAACAGTGACACACAATGTGGTTAGAAACTTTACTACTCCTGTTGCTCCTTCTTATTTTGGCTTACGGTTGGTTGCGTTATCGCTATGACTACTGGAAGCGCCATCAAGTGCCGTATTTGCCCACCACATATGGTATTGGAAATTTGGGTGAATTACTTTCGATGCAAACCAATCCAGCAGAGTTTGTGCAAAATTTGTATAATCATTCGGAGGGTAGGAATGAGCCGTTTGTTGGCTTGCATGTCTTTACGCAGCCGGCAATTTTGTTGCGTGATCCTGAGCTTGTGAAACGCATTTTAGTGAAGGATTTTACCAAGTTCTGCGACAGGTGAGTTCGGTGGAAATTTAGAGATTGTCTTTTCGAAAGAGTTTGTTTGCTTTTAGATTTTCCAATGCCGACGCCAAATGTGATCCATTGGGTTCGTTAAATATATTTTTTCTGCGTAATCCCGCTTGGAAGGAGGTGCGTTTCAAGTTGACGCCATTCTTCTCCAGTGGAAAATTGAAACAAATGTTTCCATTAGTTGAAGAAGTAAGTCTTATTTTGAGGCTCAATATTCTCTCATAGGTTCAACTGAAGATTTTCTATTTCAAATTAAAAATATTTTTGCTAAAATTTTTAAGGAAAGAAATGATCAATGATAGGTTATGAAAGCGTCCTTGAACCCAGGATGGTTCCTTATCAGCGGCGCTTTGTAACCGCTAAAGCGATTTTCGCCCGAGTTCCTTTTTCAACGAGCTCCTCCGAATGGCTGATGGGTTGTAATGAGGAGCTCTATTTGATGTGAGAAATACACTCGGAGGGGTCATTCCTTGTCGACGGGTGACTACAATTATAAAAAGTAATTTTCTATTATTTGGAGGTTGGTGCCCCAGGGCGCTAAATGCTAAGAACTCGACTGTTGAGGTGGGCGAATCACAGTATTACAGACGAAAAAGTAGATGTTCACTAGAGATAGGCTTTATAGAATATCAAGAATGTGTTAGTAAGCTCAAAGCCAAATTCGGTCCCGAGGATCTTTAATATTATACTCATAACTTGATTATCGGTAAACAAGCTTTAAATTATAATGTGGATTATCCCTTAAAACTGAGTGTTTCCAGAGTTCTTTTGGAGAATTGCCAATGCTTATTATGTAGGCTAAAGCTTGGTGGTCAAAAGTCTCGCTAAAAATAGTATCGCTTACGGCTCTTCATTTCGCACAATGAAGCTCAAGACCTTATGTGATTTCGCTAAAAACCCAGTTCACACTTTTTCGGGCTTTTGCAAGGTTGGAGCGCATTGGGCTATACACTCCGACGAATTTACTATCGTAGAAAACAGTTTTGTTTCACTGTTTATAAGTTCTTCCATACCCTCTACCAATATCAATTACTTTAAACCTGTTTATAAAGGATCCCACGTAGAGCTTGCCCCTAAATGAGATTGAATTATAAGCTTAATTAAACACATTTCTCCTTAACCCACAGGTCGGACGTGAGCTTGATAAATATTTGCTCTCCCAAAGCATTGGGTGTGACGGCACGAAGTCCTTCATGATGGAAATGAAAGAACTCTGCGCACTCTACACCACAGATGTGATAGCCACCACGGCTTATGGCGTGCAAGCGAACTGTTTTAAAGTACCCAATGGCGAGTTTCGACGACATGGACGTGCCGTCTTTAAGTTTGGTGTGCGTCGTACATTAGAATTCTTATTCGTCTTCTTTATGCCGCATCTAGTGCCCTATCTTAAATTCAAAGTTGTGCCGCCAGCCTCTTCCGAATTTCTACGTAACACTATCAATTATGTAATGAAGCACCGTGAGGAGTCGGGCACAAAGCGCAATGATCTCATTGACATACTAATTGAGTTCAAAAATTCAACGAAAAGCAAAACATCTGCTAGTGGCGTCATTTATGAGGGTGATATATTGGTCGCGCAGGCGGCGCTCTTTTTCACTGCAGGTTTCGAGTCCTCCTCGGCGACTATGTCCTTTGCGTTGTATGAGTTGGCGTTACGACCGGACTTACAGCAGCGTGTGCGTAATGAAATGGCGGCAGGTCTAGCGCTTAGTGGCGGTAAAGTCACTTACAAATATCTGGATACATTGGTTTATATGCAGATGGTAATTGATGAAGTGTTGCGCATGTATCCACCGCTGCCATTTCTTGATCGTCAATATACCGCGCCGCCTGAAGAGGGCGGTTACTCGCTGGAACCGTATCACAAATATCGGCTGCCACATGGTATGCCAGTTTATGTACCCGTTTATGGTCTACACATGGATCCGAAAGTAAGTTTTTTTTTTTTTTTTTATTTTAAGAAACTCTCATTTAATAACACCTTCACTGTTTTTGTACATATAGTTTTACCCCAACCGAAAAAATTCGATCCGGAGCGTTTTGCACCCGAGCATAAGAAAAAACTGCCACCTTACGCTTACATGCCTTTCGGCTTGGGCCCACACGCTTGCATTGGCGAACGTTTCGCTATGATGCAGACGAAAATCGGACTCACCTATTTCTTGCTCAATCACAAAGTCACCACCTGTCCGCTCACCAAGATACCCATGCAATTGGATCCTAAAGCCGTTGTGATACAAGCTGAGGGTGGCATACACCTGAATGTGGTGCGTAGTCCTCTAAGGGAGCGTGAGTTGTAAACGCCAATTCTCTGTTGCTGTTTTGTTTTCCAAACCAACTTGACCGTGTGTACTAAGCGAATGAGTGAAAGTTACTTAGATCCAATACATTTTAAGGGCCTTCAAGGGCCAGTGCAGCAGCGTTTGTATGTTTTATAAAAAAGTATTTAATTTATTTAATTTGTATGTCAATTGAGTGTTTAAAGCATTTAAACTTGGGTCAATAGCACCTTTGCGTGTGTTGGATAATTTTCGAGATTTTTTTCTATTTCATTTTTCGAACAGCTTGCACTGCGAAATGTTGCTGTTTCCAACAATAAATATGTTCATTCTAATTTTATAAGTGTTTAGTGGCTGAACTGAACTCAAGTTTGCATGTCAAATTCATGACTTGGAGTGTCACTCAAGTTGATCGCGTGTGCCAAACGAGCGATCATGAAGGAGTCATGTGTCAGTCTCAAAGAAAGCATTAACTTGAATAAAGCTAAGTTCTATTACCAGTGAATGGAGCACTCGAACTACGTATGAGCAATTTTAAATCGATTACATAAAAACTCGATAGTTATCTGATGTTTACCACGTGCTTTTGTGCTCGATACTTTTTGGTGCTTTTTAACCGCTGAAGCGATTTTCCCCCGAGCTACTCCTCCAAATTGTGGTTTTACGACTTAAGGGTTTTCCAACAAACGGAGGGACCTACAGTTTATACTAAGCCGCCTCCGAACTCTCGCAGAGGGGCGACCACAATCAGAAAATTTAGCTTAATTTTTTATTTAAATTAATTTTTTATAGGAAAATTAATAATTAACGGTAACTAAGGGGCAATCCATTTCGGGGTTCCCTACATGTTTAATGAAAAACAACACAGAAAATTCAAATTTAATGGGATACGTTTATTATCATGCGAAAAAATATTATTTGACATTTATTTATTTGAGGATTCATCTCTTTCAAATATCGGCCGCGGCTACGTCTCAGTATCTCATCTGTTGAGTCCAATTTTGGATGACTCGTTCGAACATTTCGACTATTAACTGGCGAATGACGTGCGTGATATTTTGCTCCAACTTCGGAATCGAAGCGTGATTGCTCGTATAGACTTTAAACTTTGCATATCCCTACAAGGAAAAATCTGGCGGTGTGATATCATAGGATTTTGGTAGGCAATGGACCGGCCCAAAACGTGAAAATAACTGTTTACTGAACTGTTCTCTCAATAGATCCATTGATTGAAGTGAGAGGAGCTTCAATTTCAGGCAACCAATAGTCAGTTACCATGGCGCGATAACGGTCACCATTTATTTTTACGTTCCCAAAAGCCACACTAAACGGTTTTTTTCTGGATGATATGGCAGCTCTTGAATCTCTTCGAATTGCTCTTCGTCTTAAATGACCAAATTTTGCTTGTTTACATAAATAACCATTGAGCCAGAAATGGACTTAATCTCTGAACAAAAGATCTTCTTGGAACTTTTCAAGAACTTGGAAGGTCGAGCGGCTTCAATTCATGCACAAGCTGTATATTATACGCTTTCAATTTAATATATCGACGCAAAATGCGCCAAGTCGCTTCATACGTCAGCTCGAATTGCTACGAACGGCGCCGAGTCGACTGTCATTGGTCTTCGTTTACACTCTCAGCTACAGCTGTTATATTTTCTTCACTGCGCGCTGGCAGATGAACTCTGGGAAAAATACACGGGAGATATGAAACATTTAATCATTAAGCTGATACGTCTTTTTATCGATAAGTTGATTTATTTATCCGAGCATATGAGTGTATAGATGTGTGACGTATATTCGGCCGTGGGTTTGTTCTCACCTCCATCCCCGCTGGCGCGTCATTTAAAGCAAATCGTCCCCACTATTAGTCGAGCGACGTAGCATATAGAAATTACTCTAGGAAGATGAACCAAAATTGAAAACAAAATGTGACCAAACTACCATTCAAAGCCGAGTATGCTTCAAGCGTGTCTTCTAACCCTGAGGCATAAGATACACATATAGTTCATCAAAACTAAAGCCACTAACCTGAAAAGCTTTCAGAACATATTCGATGCGATGCGGACAAGTGAGCACCTAGACGAGAGTGCGAATATGAACATATAAGCGATATTGAGGAGGCTTATACCAATTGGCATATATCCCATTTACGTTCAAATCGTTGAGCGTGTTTCTGTCCGATGATATCCTTCAAAAAGTAGATGCATCAACCTTGTCAGCTCTTCCCCGCCATATATTAATAATTCTACCAGTAAGCCATCAGCTCTAGCCACTTTTTTGTTCTTTAAACGAGCAATGGCTATTCGAATCTCAGCATAGTCGGGTAATGGAATATTGATAAGGGTTTCCGGCTTGCCTACTCCGACTGTTGCCCTTTCAGTGCAGTTCAGCAGACTGGAGAAGTGTTCACTCGTGGACATGGAGGATGTTGTTGTGGACGACCTTTGGTTGCAAGAAAACGTCGCTATATGCCATACAGCCGACGAAGCAATCAATTTATTGTAGTAAACTTTTAGTGAGCGCATGACCTCGAGGTAATGTGAAGTGGGTTGTCTACGCATATAAGCTCGAGACGATAGGTAATACGGTGCAAAAGTGCAAAAAGTGGTCGAACTGGAATTTTTGGCAGCCGGCAACATTCTTTAATTAAGGTTTAGGCTACGAGCACCCCCGCTGCTCTGCGTTCTATTTTGAATTAAAAAAGTTTTTGATTTGCAATCTCATAAACATAAAACATAGTTTTTTTTAATCACTACTAAACCATTCTCTCATTTATTTGCACTCCGTTCGTAGAGCTTATCATTGACAAACCGTAAGTAAATGCCATCCTTATAACTTAAAACTAAAGAAAATGGATCAAAGGTTATCTCCTCCGGCGTCTTCGCACAAGTCGCAACATAGTGATCCTTCAAAATATGAACCAAACCAAGTTTTGATTGCAGCAAACCAATACGAC